TTTAAATTGAAAATTGTCTTGTGTTGCTTCCCATTGTTCCAGTCATTTTTTTCAGTATATTAACCAAACACTTGATTAGTGGACATTGCAGGTATTATTCCAGGGGTTTTAGGTAACGACTCAATAATAGTTAACTCATTTAGGAAAGTATGTTGACTTGCTGATTTTCATTTACAATATCTACAGCTAGTTGAAGTTTTGCAGTGATAGATATTAATTACAATATCTATTTCTCTGATAATGTAAGCTATGTTGAAATTGGTTAAAATGGAATTAAAATTTAATGAAAACTTGTTTTTTTTGAGGGCTTACAGTTCTTATAATAAACCATTAATGAAACTCTTAAACCCGCTCTTTGAAGCCCCTTTAAAAACAGGACCAGGATTCCCTTTCTTATACATACGTGTGATCCCCTTTTTTCAGTGTTCATCTTTAAGATAATTCATATATTGCTATTGTATTTATGGTGAACATTAAAATGCACACAATTAAATGTGTATTTTCTCCAGATTTATAACCTCTGTGTGTCCTCTTAAAATAAATGCTTAGCATTGTATATGAGGCCTTGTCCCCTAAATCCGTAGCTAGTGTTGGGAAACAAGGGTGTGTATATCACTGTAATTCTGAGAGAATATGGTGGAATCTATTTATAAACCCATGCTTTTCCTATTTTGTGATAACCCGATCAATCATTTTTATAATTTGGATAACAGTTGATAGATATTTAAAAACCATAAATATCTGATATGTCTACATTTTTTCCCATTTTAGGAAGTAAAACAGATTGTGTTATAACTTAACATTTCTTGACAGTGGTCCTATGGTCATACCTTCAAGTTCCTTCAGTATACATCAATTCCCTGAGATGCCAATTTTGAGCACATAGAACCCAGGTATTTTTATATCCCAGTATAACTTGGGCTGCAGTATCCTTATACATTTTTGGCCCATTTTTTGGTGATCATTTTGTTCCTCTGGAGGAAACCAAACTGGTAATATAAAATGTTGTACTTAAATCACATTTTAAAAGATATTTACCTCAATGAGTTTGCAGCTTTTAATTCTGTGCTTCTGTTTTATTTTTAATACTGATTAGATCCTTGTATTCTTGTACTTCAGCGATTGTGGACAGAGAATACCCCCATTGGTTAATTTTCTACCTCTTTATATTTCCAAATTATGCTAAGAAATCATGTTATTAATAGTGTCACCTCATGGCTTGGTGGGTAAAAGTTTGAATCCACGAAAAGAATTTTAAAAAATAATTTAGATAAACAAAAAACCTTATGTTGTCAGAGACAGAATAAATTACTAAAGTCTTGAATTAGAAAAAAAAAATTTTTTCAGCACACTTAAAGGATAATAATATAGTTGATTATTCTTGTAGTTGAGAAGATTACATTTATGCCCAAAGAATTTCATTAGATAATCCAGACATATTCCATTGTTCACTCACATCAAGCAATATTTTACAATTTGATACCACAATCATTTTCAGACTTCTTGACCTCCTTGGGATGGGAGGGGGGAGGGCCCACCTCCCCAACTGTTAACCCCCAGGACCCTTATTGTAGTTGTTTTCTCTATAGGTTCATCATAATTTTCATACCTGTGTTTATAGCTATTTGATGTGTGCTGTTGACAGCACTAGATAATTTTAATATAAAAAAGCATTCTTAAGTGTTTATTGTGATTGATAAGTGATAAAAAATAAGTACATTTCTATCCCAAGTACTTGGAATTGAATTCTCAAGGTCAGGGTTTTTTTGCACATATTTTGACCGGTGTGCCCCCCTTTCCCCATTTCCCATTATGCCCAACTAAAAGTTGCCTAGTGGAATGCATTTGCCATGTGGAGGACCAGGAATGATAGGAAAAGGCAGTTTCCTAGGGTAGGGGATATAAAAAGGCCCCAAAGCCTTCTCAATGAGGAATGGGGAAGGTGGTTTGCTGCCAGGTTTTATTATGTTCCCTTTGACAAACCCTGCTGCAATAGTCCTCTTTTATTAATACTTTCCTGACATTTACCCTGTTAGTTGAGGCTCTTCATTGTTCCTGCACTGAGCTGTAGAATTCTCTTTTGTTATAGATTTGCAAACAAGACTTTCCCAGCAGACAGAAGGTGAGTTGAAATGTTTCTCTTTCATATTTTGCCTCTGTAGATTTATAGTAGCAAGACATAGTTATTATTTATATTTTAGAAACATTTTGGGCATATTGGCTCAAAAGGCCTATCAATATATAAATTGGAAAGCCAGATACATCTTTTAAATTCCAGAGGGAATTACACGCCTTTTTTACTTTAGCTGCTTAGAGTTTAAGTTTTGTACTTGGCTTAATGCTTAACAGTGTTTTCAGATTGTTACTATGCTTTAATATAAAAATCAGATGAACTAAATTAATAGACAAGTTAGTGATGGAACTTAGAAGGAATCCAGATTTCCATATAGAAGACTTATTTAATAAAATAAAAGTTATATGAAATGGATCTCTGTTTAAATACATGTATAAGTACAGGTAAGCAGTGAGGGTACTAAATTACATGCGAGGAGCCTAGAGTGCCTTATAAGGACAGTAGTTCAAGCCCACAGCCACTATGAAGTTTGCTTCAAAATTTATAGCCTTGGCAAAAATTATGGGGTATTGTTTTGAGTTGAAATCATCTTGATGACGGAATGATGATTTAAATTGGATGACAATCGGATGAAAAATTTATAAAGTAGGATGATTTTGGAGGCTTCTGATACCATTGACTCTGTCATTGGACTTAGATAAATTCTTGAGCAAATTTAGTGTCCATTTTTAGGGATAGGGCAGGATTGTTTGTTTATGTGTTTATTTAAGGAAGGTAGGTAGTTATTTCACCTTCCTCCCCTCCCACCCCAGAATATACATTCATTGCTATTTGGTTAACATACAGATATTTTAACGTTAAAGAGTTGTTTCCTTATTTCTTGCTATATTCATTCGGTATTATGATCAGTGTTAATTCTGAATGTTTCTGTTGTACATTTTCACCATAGGTAATCTGGTTAATATATTTTAAAGAGAAAAATTCTCGTTTCCCCATATGTTCTGTTATAATCGTACTATTTTTCCAACATATTTCTATTTCATGAGTAACCAAACAGTACTCATTATTTTACAATGCATGTAACTCTTGCATCTTCCCACAAATTAATTTATTTAAATTTATTTCAGTATTTTGTGCTAAATTAAAAAGTATGGTATGAAAAAACAATATTCATCGTAGAAAAAGTGAAAAAATGCTAAAGGCATTATAATGATACCATAAATCCACATATTTCAGTGCCGTAATTCATACGGTAACCTCGTTTATTTTTCATAGATTTCTACTATCGTGTAGTTCCTCATATAGTCATTCATATTGATTACTGTAACTTCTAATCCACTGTTTTATCCTTAGCTTTGTTTATTGGATTGAAATTTGATCATATAATATGATTACGGTGAGTTTTATAGCAGCTACTGGTAAAGTTTGAATAATTCACATAAAAGCTCTGGAGCAACCATTTTGGAAAATGTTTTAATTCAGTAAGCCGGTTTTCTTTATTTCCTTGCTCCTCAATATTATATCCAGTAGTTCTTCTCAATTTGAATATTAATTGTGCTACTATATACTTAAAAAAAGTGTTTATCATGTTGCACTTAGACCAATCTAATAATTTAAAATTTAATTGTATTTTATAGTTTCATTTTTGTAAGATAGCCTAATAACAAGACCATTTTTATTGGCAATAAATTGAATTGTGCCTATGTATTGTTTCATGGACATGAACTTGAAGTAAAAAACAGTGTAGATTTATGTTCTAAGTGTATCAACTCCAGCATTCCTTCAAAAACAATTACCATTTTAACCTTTGGCTTTGTGGATTGCTCAAATCACTATTTAATAACACTTATTAACTTGACTGCTTAAGTTGCATGGTCTCAATTATAAAATTGTACACAGCAAATTAATCCATTTTTAAGTGTACAATGTATCTTGAGTTAATCTTATGTTAAAACCCTCAAACATAATCATGACCAAATTCTATCTTATTTTCCAGTTTATAAGATAAATTATTGAAACTATCCTTAATTAGTGGTTTGGAGTTAGTGGTTTATTTTATTAAGGATACTCAGCTGTTTGTTTATATGAAACTAATTTCTTTTTTGTTTGTTTTTAGCTTCAGCTTTAGCTGCAGCTGCTTCTGTTCAACCACTTGCAACACAGTGTTTCCAACTGTCTAACATGTTTAACCCTCAAACGTAAGTGTAATACACATTGTTAAAGACTAAATGAGAGAAATCCATGAGTTGACTTACCATTTTGAAATTTTCAACTATTTCATAACTAAAACTGACACTTTTTGGGGAGATGTACATTTAAGGGTTTGAGATTCTTCAGATTACTATGCAAGTTTTCCATGATATGTCCACTCAACTGGTCATAATGTCAACTGGTATTTTATACCAGTTCTTAATTATGAAATACTGAAATATTTAATAAAAATGTTTAAATTTTTTCCTTCTACTGGTTTCGTATGTGCTATGAATTAGATATCTTTTTATTCCTAGTCAGTGGTTAGAATACCATTTATTAAGGCAAAAGCATTTCATTAGTTTTGTATCAGTTTATGGTTTAGCCTTGGCATTTATCAATCACAAATGTTGGATTAGTTTTTATTATGTTGAATGTTAACAGGCTTTAATACTTTTCTTTATAGCGAAGAAGAAGTTGGATGGGATACAGAGATTAAGGATGATGTTATTGAAGAATGTAATAAACATGGTGGAGTTATTCATATTTATGTTGACAAAAATTCAGCTCAGGTATTAATATATATCTTTTAATTTTAGGATAATGTTAAGTCTTAGTAATTTTTTTTTGTAATTGTGGGCTTTCGTATAACTTATCACAATCCATACGTGCATCCATTGTGTCAAGCATATTTGTACATTTGTTGGATAGTTTCAATAATATATATTTACTGCATAATTATATATGAGAACTTTTGTGATTCTACATTGCTATAATTCACAATTTAAAAATTTTTAAGTCAATCTCGTAGCCTTATATAGCAACATCTGTAAAGCTATGTATAACTCAATTTTTCTATTTTTAGGGCAATGTGTATGTGAAGTGTCCATCAATTGCTGCAGCTATAGCTGCTGTCAATGCATTACATGGCAGGTGGTTCGCTGGTAAGATTGGTCTTTATATAAGTGATTATTAATATTAAGTCTAAACAAAATAAAATATGCTAAACCATGTGTTTATTTCAACAGGTAAAATGATAACAGCAGCCTATGTACCTCTTCCGACGTATCACAACCTCTTTCCAGATTCTATGACAGCAACACAACTACTGGTTCCAAGTAGACGATGAAGGAACATAGTCCCTTATGTACATAGCTTTTTTTCTTTCTTGAGAATTCATCTTGAGTTATCTTTTATTTAGATAAAAATAAAGAGGCAAGGGTCTACTGTCATTTGTATACAATTCCTGTTATCTTGAAAAAATAAAAATGTTAACAGGAATACAGTGTGCTCATTCTCCCTAACTAGTAAATACCACTGTAAACAAAGCTGTTTTCTTGTTCTGCCTTTTAAATGTATATTTACAAAAACTACATTAAGTATCTATAGGAATAGCTCTAGGGGAACAAATGTGCTTTCTATAAAAAGGCAGACAAGGGATGTTAAGTTTTTAATGTTTCAGAACCCTAACTTTTTACATGGCAGTTAGATTTCAGTAATGTTATATTTGGCTACTGGCTTAGATAAGGTTTCTGGAATATATCTAGAGTGAATTTTACAGACAGCTAAAGGGCTGTTAACATCTCATTGTGCATTCTGGTCAATTGGTAAGAAAGGGAGATTTTGAAATCTTATTCCTTGATGGCAACTTTTCAGTTAATGTATGTGTAAAATTTATTTGTAAATATTATGTATTCTGGTGTGTGAGATTCCAAACAAAATGATCCCTGCATTTCCTTTGATGTTCACTGACAAGTCTGGTAAGCAAAGCAGTCCGAGCAGGAAATAGGAAATGCAGAAATAGGTTTTGTCTGGTTGCATATAATCTTTGCTCTTTTTAAGCTCTGTGAGCTCTGAAATATATTTTTGGGTTATTTCAGTGTGTTTGACAAGACAGCTTGATATTTCTTATCAGAACAATGACTTTCATATTGCAACAACCTTTGTAAGAACCACTCAAATAAAATTCTCTTAAAAAGGCCATAAGAAATCCTCATTTTTCAAATATTTCAAATCAGAGGAACTAAAGAGAATAGACTTGGTTTCTCTGACTTCCAATAGTCCTCTTCGTGAAAATAATTGTTACTACTCAGAGTCTGAGTCCCGGTATAGTCCACTTTGCAATAAGCACTTTTGGAAACGTGTAGGTTTGCACATAATTCAATTGCCATAGAGAACTGGCAACTGGAGATCATTGTAAGCCTGTCTTGGGTAAGATAGGAAAATATATTTGCCAAATGCAAGTGCACTTAACCCAGTGCATAGTTAAGTACTGTATCCTGTGTGATAATTGCATCTTTAGCTTAAAAGCAAGCTTGATTATTTACTCTCTTGATTATTTACAGGTTAAGTTCCTTAATTTGAAGTAAATTTTCAGGTGTGTGTGTGTATCTACCTGGGCAGTGTTATTTCTTGCAGCAGAAGACTTCTGTAAATCAGGTTTTCAAATACCTGATATATCTTGGAAAAATTGTATTTCTTGTGCTATATCCCCACATTTGTTGTAATGTGCTAACAGTCATGGACTTATGTATTATACAACCTTATTCTGTTAAAAGTAATGGCAAAATCTGTACTACACTGCAACAAATGTGGCTCTGCCATTTTTTTCTTTGACAATTTGCACTGGGTAGTTTTGAAATATATTTTTATAAGTGCCATATATACTCGAGTATAAACCTACCCAAATATCAACCAAGGTACCTAGTTTTACCACAAAAACTGCATTTAAAATGTGCTGAAGAATTCGGCTTATACACTATTGTATGCGGTAGGTTTATTGGCATATAATTCCCCCATCGTAGTTTACAAGTTAAATCAAGGTTTTGTCTTGCTATCCATATAATTCCTTTTTGTAAAAAATAATTTATTTGAACAAAATTATTTGAAACAATACTGTTTTCTGCCCCCGCCCCCCCAGGAGAGGTAACTTAAAAAAAAATGACAAGAATTACAGACTTGATTTAGACAATTGTGTGCAGACCTAAATAAAAACGAGGTACAATGTTGATGCATCGTGTACATTTGATACATTCTAAGATTACTGAAATAATGAAAAGTATTTAGGTTTGTGTCATACAGCACACACAGTTGCTAGTTTTTATATTTGCCTTGATAAATAGTAGGAAATATTTCTGCAGTTTTTGTATAAATTGACGTGTCAAAATTAGTGGTCCTGCAAAGCTAGCATTAAAGAAAAGTAAACATTGGCCTTTCTGTGAACTGAACCAGGTGTCTCAACATCAAGCTAATTAGAATAAATTTGAACAGTAGGTGAATACTTTAGCTAGAAATAAACTGAAAATTTTGAATTTAAAATAATGAACCATGTAGTTTAACCAGCTACTGTATCTGAAAGAAAATATGATCAGTCATCGAAGTAGACCTTGGGGTTAAATCTAGTGAGAGAAGAAATCTAGACTTCATCAGTTTTTCACCTGTAAAGGTGTTAGTATAAGCAAACCCGTATTGCACAACCAGGACTCCATAGTACCAACCACACAAGGCTTAATGTGTAGGTGGAAAGCTGATAGATAGGATGCGTGTAGGAAAGCCTTTGGAATAATTCTATTAATGTCCTCAGCTTGGGTCCTGGTAGCATGGGTTATGATTTGGGCTATTAGTAAGCTGATAAAGCAGTTTGGATAGTCAAAGGACGAAGATGAGACTTGCTAATCCTTGACCATTTGAAATGAACTAGAAAGCAATGGGCTTTTGGTTTGGTATATATTGTATTTACTATCTAAACTACCCAATTGAAGGCAGCAAGCAAGTAAGCATGGGAGAGGAGGTTCCAGACAAGTCATTCATTAGTTTTCCCACCTACTACACGGCTGACCTGTGGGCGTTAATCTAGAATTTATTTCTAGCATTCTTAACATGGAAGGGGAAATCAACCTAGGTGGTCATAATGTGCTGGCTAAGCATCCGAGGGCCAGTCAGGATGTGCTATGGAAGTGCCAGTTTGGGTGTACCACAAAGTTGACCAGAGGTCAGTACTGGAGCTTAGAGGGATGGAGACAACTGGAAGTGTCTAATGTGCTCCATGACTTGGCCTGATCCAAGTAGTACTTGGAGCAAGTAGAGGCTTTACTATTGAGCAACCTGAGTAGGTGCTGCTTTTGTTAGGGTCCTGGAATCATAAGGAAGTAGTACTACTGGTGTAATGGGCTATTAACATCAAGGTCAGTAGTTTGAAACTACCAGCAGTTCTCTGGAGAAAGGCTTTCCGTTACTCTTAAAATACATCAGTGGCAGTTCTATAATTGATAAGGCAAAATTTTTATTGAAAGTGTAGGGATGAGAATTGCTTCGAGAGGCTGGAGAAAGTATTGCAAGATGGATGTACAGTCAGGTCAGTAGACTGGGTTGTTGGGATGGCCTGACTCGTTAGGCCTAAGGTGGGGAGGTACCTAGTTACAGGTGGTAGTTGGGCTTTCTAAGGAGGCTCAGGAGGTAGTTGGGCTTCCTAAGGAGCATAGCTGGAGGGAAATGGGTCCTAGGAAGTATTCCTTACCCATTCAGGGACATCGGAGTGGTAGCTTCAGGAGGAGAGCATGTGATAGAAGTGCTTGGGGTAGGAGAATGATTTAATCACAAGGGGCAAATTTGTAAGGCGATCTTGCCAAAAGACTGGCTATCTGCCTGCAGGGTCTCTTCCACTTCTGTGCATGGCCTTCATTAAAGCAATGTCAGCAGGCTACTGAAGGTGGCAGGTAAGGCTATTTAATGCTGACTTCTGATAACTTGGGTGGTCTTGATAACCTGTTGATGGGTGACGAGTAGATTCAATGCGTCTAACAGGTACTCTGATTACTCAAAGACTGTTTTATTATAGTACATGGGTTACAACTGGTGGGAGAGGGTAAACAAACTAGGCAACCACTGCACTGGTTAGCATCTGATGCCCATCCCAATCGCCATGAATGTGCCAAAAGTGCCACCACTCTGCATCATGGTTTTTCCAATGCCGCCCATCAGCTCCCGACCCCGCATTCCGATCCTGTGAAGAAGCAGCCAAGATAGGGCCAGTTGGCAAAACAATATTACATGCTCATTTCAAATTTGTGTTAATAAATGAATCAAGCACTTCTAATTTGGCCACTCCCCATTTCATGTTCACCAATGGCTAAGCATGGTCTCTGTCCCGAGATGAGTATGGACAAAAGGCTCCATTAGGTTCTCTACCCAAGTTCCTCATACATCAAGTCTTCAGCTTAAAGGTGACAAAAGATGCCATGCTAACTAAGTACCCGATCATGGAAACCAATTTTTAGTGCTGATTTATCCATTTTCATTCCAGAGTATGTATGATCCAATAGTTTTCTGGTGTTGACAATGATGGATACCTGCTAAGTGTAAAGTAGGGTTCATAAAGAACAGTTCACATGGGTGTTGTGATAGGACAATGCACGCAGAGTTACTTCCCTTGACATAGTTAAGTGCTTGGTAAATGGTAATTTTGCAATTTCAAAAAATGAGTGTGGTCTCTATAAAAGTGAAAATGACGTTCTGCATAAAGTATTACTATCTTTACATGCTGTTTCCAGGACAGTAAAATGTTTCCACGTGAGTTTAATTATTAGCAACTGGAAATACCAATGAAGGCGGCACCCTGGTTGGTGCTGGACTGTTAACCAAAAGGCCAGCGGTTAGCACACAAGCTGCTCTGAGGAAGAAAGTTGAGGCTTTTTGCTTCTGTAACATTTGCACTTCTCTTTAAGACACTGACCTGCAGGGTGCCTGTAAATTGGAATCGACTTGGTTACAGTGCGGTTTGGAAATAAAAATAATCTGCAAAAGTGACAGTCACTTAATGAGCACTAGATAGGTGTTACCTTCTGTGCCAGGGTTACAAAATCGGGGCTTGTAAAGACTTAACAGTCTTGGAAACGCTAGACCCTGGAGTTCTACCCAGTCTTTGAAGGTCGCTATGGGTCAGCTGCGGCTGCAAGGCAGTGAGTTTGTGCTCTCTAGGTAGGGTTACAGTGCTCGTGGAGGAAAGCTAGTCGTTACCAGTCTTTACCAATTGGCCTAAGGACACACAACGAATTCGTAAACACTGGGGCTTTCAACCAGTCTCATGTCTGAGTGCGTCCAAAAAATTTGACCAGAAGAGGAAATACTCTGCTTCCTGCCCAGAGCGGAGTGGTGTCTCGCTCAGGAGACAGCCAGCGACCCTCACCTGAGACAGGAAAAGGTGCCGAAGAGCGCCCCGGCCGCCATGCCCACGGCGCAACCCATCACAAAGCCCATCTTCACGCGGTCGAAGCAGCTTGGTTGGGACTGCCCGTACGGACCCACGGCCACCGGCATCTGCGTGGAGGGGGGCAGGGAAGTGCGGGTCCCGGCACCCGCCCGCGATGCGGGAGGTCGGCGGGAGCGGGGGCCTACGGAGCGAATCCCAGGGTCTGGGAAAGCCTCGGAAGGAGAAGCAGGAGAAAGAGGAGTCTGATTCCACCCCCCGCTGCACGTTCCGCCCCCCACGCCGCGGGGCCCCCACCTCACCTCGCTTGCGGCTGCAGTCGCTCAGCTATACGTCTCAGTGCGTACGTGAGGCGTCGGACCCTTGCGACCTGAAGAATTGCTTCCGGGGCATGAGCAACACTTCCGGGATCTTAGGGCCACGGATCGGTGTCGCTTTGGGTGGGAGACTGCCATCTATATATACCATGTTGCTGCAAATCGCCTGGAAGCGGGTCGTCCGGACCTTGGTGGCAACCCCAGCGTCGAAGTCCCGGGCGCCCGTTCGGGGGCTGCGCGTGCGCGGTACGCTAAGGCTCCTGCTCCTTGTTCCTTCTGATGCCTTTGGGCGGGGCCACGCACCTGAAAATTCCTAATGCCCCTTTCCTAGTCCCCGTCCTGCACACTGTCCTCCGTATCCGCTCCCTCCCTTCACCTTTCTTAGCCTTCCCTCCGCTCCCCCAGTGTTGGACTTCATTTAGTCACCTCTCAAACTGCGCAGCGGGCCCTCCTAGGCTGCGGAACGCTCTAGTCTAGGCTCCGCTCCCTCCAGCAACCTTTCAGGGGCTTCTCGCCTACCCTGGCTTCTCCCCACTCCTGTGTGGCTTTGCCCTTTAGAGCCTTCCCTATTTCCAACATCCCGCACGAGGTACTGTGATTACCCTTGCCTTCTTTTACAGTTGGCTCGGGTTCTCAGCTGTTTTTGTTTCCTTTTCCTTTGAGGTTTGCCATCCCTTGAGCATCATTACTTAAGTCCAGCTTTTACTTTCTGCTAGCTTTGATGCATCCCCTCTCATTTGGTCACTCTATTCCTTTTTTTTTTTTTTTTGTCAGTGGTACATCATGCTCCCTCAGATACAACTCCTGCTCCAGAGGCAGAGACCGTGCTACGACCTCTCTATTTGGATGTGCAAGCTACCACTCCTCTGGTAAGGTCGGAGACAGTTTTCCCCAAGTTACGATCAGGAAGTAGAGACAGGCAACAGAAATGTCAGGAGCTACTGAGTTGTTCTAGAGTCATCACTGAGCCAGGAGACAGAAGACCTGAGCCCTCTTTCACCTGAAGTGGTTGGGCTACAGCTGGCCACTTCTTCGATGCAGGTGCTCTAAAAAACAAACAAACAACCCCACTGCCATCCGACAGAAAGCTGTAAGTCTGTATTAGAGCTCTGTGAAATTGGGTAAAAGGGTTAAAAATGGCAAAATTCTTAGAACAGCGCCTGACGCATGATGAACTCTCAAATATTAATGTAGGGCTTTACCTTGTGTGAAGAGGGATATTTACCAGGACCTCTTGTGTCCTAACCCTTCATAAATCACTTTGTATGACAGTGGCGTGGCTAGGTTAGTGTCATCTTAAGTACAGAGTCTCCTCTCCATGGACCTTGTGCCATCCCTGACCATACAGATCCTTACAGTCCACTGTTGTAGAGTTGATTTGGATTCACAATGACTATAGTATTGAGCTCAACCCCTCCCAAAGGGTTTCCTGAGAATGTCCATGGCAGTGCTTAACCCACTGTATCACCAGGGCTCCTTACAGAATCTTTAGTAATGTTATCAATTTTAATAATAGAATACACGATAAGTATAGTTGTAAATTGTTCAAGTGTCCTATTTCTTAGATTGACAGTGAATCCTAATTAAATTTATAAAATCTCTCTACATTGAATTACATTAGTTACAACAATATTCGTAACTGTATGGAAACCTGTTTATATTTTTTTCCTTTTCCTTTAATTATTTTTTCATTTTTAAAAATTACTGATTTTTGGTAGCAAATATTACTACAGTATTATAGCTAATACATTAGAAAACTTGATTAAATCAGTGACTTTTTATTTTAATAAACATTTTATTGAGGGCTCTTACAGCTCTCGTAACAATCCATACATCAGTTGTATCAAGCACATTTGTACATATGTTGTCATTATTTTCTAGACATTTGTTTGCTACTGAGCCCTTGGTGTCAGCTCCTCTTTTTCCCCCCTCCCAAATCAGTGACTTTAAAAACACAAGACAACAGCCAAAAAAAGCCCCCAAAATACAACCAGTACTTATAGTTAACGAGGATGAAGCCAGGTGATCTGAAGCATCATTGTAATTGGATAATACTAGTTCTGCCCTGAGTCCATTAGAAGGTTCAAAAAATCTATTCGCTTAGAGTTTTGCCTTCTAACTATAGTAATACATGTAATCTGGGCTTGTTGAAACTGTTACTGTAACTAACTATAAGGCCACCTTTATAAAAAACAAATTCATGCTGAAATACTGCACAAAAATCTTAAGCACAGTTTTTGTGGTGTCCGGCCCTCTCACAGTTTCACCTGGTACTTCCCACATTCCCCATTCCCACTGGGGAATAGAAACGGCTTGTAGAAACAGGTGTCAGACCCAGGCAATATTTGAAGACTGCCTGATGAGGTAGCGGTTAAATCTGAGTTGAGATCAACGGGGATGGAGTATATTCTGTTGATTTTTGCTTAGTATCTGAGGGGATGGAAGATTGGTTGAGGGCTAATTTAGGTAGTGTCTAAGGCAGTGGTTCTCAACCTTTGTAATGCCATGACCCTTTAATACAGTTCCTCATGTTGTGACCCCTAACCATAAAATTATTTTCGTTGCTACATCACAACTGTCATTTTGCTACTGTTATGAATTGGGCAACCCCCCAAAAGGGGTCGAGACCCACAGGTTGACAACCTCTGGTCTGAGGGGTTGAGCATGTGTTGAGGCAGGTTGGGCAGGTATGAGGGGATAGAGTAGGGCCTTGAATTGACTGTGGGTACAGGAAAACTGAACTTACTCTATTGTGCTCAGGATCCCCGGGTGCTTGATGCCATGCTTCCTTACCTAGTCAACTACTACGGGAACCCACACTCCCGGACACATGCGTATGGCTGGGAGAGTGAGGCGGCCGTGGAACGTGCTCGCCAGGTTAGTACAGAGGAGTCTGGTGAGTTCTGAGGTCAGATAGGCAGTGGCCTGTGGGAAAGAGGTTTTAGTTTTGGTGGGGGTGCGTAGGGATGGAAAGGGTTTGAGATTCTCGGGAAGAGATTCAGAAAGTAAGCCCTGGAGTTCAGCTGCAGGTATTTCATTACTTTCAGCATTTCCTCAGTGACTAGTCTTGGGCAAGTTACTTACTTTCTCCAAGTTTCAATTTACACATTTAAAATGGAGGCTGTTGCAGGACTGGGGTGCTTTCTGGGACTGGGTGTTATCCTTGTTTCAGAGCTCTGGCCTAGCTTAGCTTGCACCCTTATTCCTGCCCGATTAACTGATTGTAGGTTTCTCTATTTGTTGGCTTACAGCAAGTAGCATCTCTGATTGGGGCTGATCCTCGTGAAATTATTTTCACTAGCGGTGCTACTGAATCCAACAACATAGCAATTAAGGTAAGAGAAGGGAAGCAGAGGACTTACCTGGCCTCTCCCTCTATAACTGGGATCTAGATGTGTATTTCCTATCCACTTACACCATCACATTGTGAAGAGAAGACACACAAAAGACACTCTTTTGGGTTTGGTGACTTTTCAACCTTTTGCAGTCTACTCTACCTTAAGTCGTTGCTCCTCTGGAACTAATTCTGTGAGGTGGTTGCCTAGGAGAGGTGATGGCTCTCTGATTCTTAACCACTTGGTTTTTTGGATAACAGCTACTTCAGAAGGTGAGCAATAGTGACCTGACCAGTTCCCCATCCATTCGCTCTAGTCCCAGTGAAGTCTAGAGTAAACTGGTAGTTGGGCATGTTTCTCTACTTGAAAAAAAAAATTCACAAAAATTTATTTAACACAACATTTGCCAAGTCAACATTTCTACTTCTTGTCACCATGACTTCACCCTTACAGCCTTTCCTTCTCTTTCTGATCAGATCTATTTTAACAAGTTCCTCCTATTTCCGCGATGTCTCCATTTAGAAATCCTGGTGCCTGTGGGACCCTCTGCAGGCATTCTCTTAGTCACTCATTCTGGGATTGGTCACTTTATCTTTGGGACCTACTCTTGGAAAGTACATACTTCTGACTGTAGTACAGGTATAATTCCACCCTTTGTAGTCATTTTGGTGTCTCATAGGGCACAATCACATTTGACTGACCTTGGTTGTGAGGATCACATCAGGGAATGTCAACCAAAAACCAACCAAACAAGTCAAAAATCCAACCAAACTCAGTGCCACTTAGTTGATTCTGAGTCAGAGTGACTCTGTAGGACAGAGTAAAACTCCCCTTTGTGTTTCCGAGACTTCAAGCCTTTATGTTGACTTTGCAGTTAGCAGCCCAGAGTATAATGTGCTACACCACTGTGGCTACTTCCTGAGTGTCAGGACTCGCTCAAACCGAACGCACTGCCATCAAGTAGAGTCCAACTCACATAGACCCTCTAGGACAGGGAATACTGCCCCTGTGGGTTTCTGAGACTACCTCTTCATGGAGTAGAAAGCCTCTTCTTTCTCCCACAGTGAGTGTCAAGGTTCAGATAAACCGTAGCCTATTTCACTTCAACTGGCCTCTCTCTCTTATCTATGCTGCCAGTGTTGGTTTTCTGTGACCTTGGCCCGAGTGTAGGAGACCTGGGACGGGTTCCAGAGTTGTCAGCACAGAGTCTGATCCTGTTAGCAGTAGGCATCCTTCTTCAGACTGCCCAGACCAGACAGCCAGAGTGCTGGCCCTCCAAAGGGGCGGGGGTGGTGGTGGGGGAGAGGATTGCTGGACTATGAAGCCTTTTTAAACTTTTGAAAATATTTGCTTTGACAGTCTTCACAGATCTCAAATCTAGGGGTGAAGGACTGGGGTCAGGTTCTCCTTCGTCTCTTAATTGGGTGGATTAGATACACTGTGCCTTTACTCCCATAAACAGTTACAGTCTTGGAAAATTGAGGGGCAATCCTACCCTATCCTTTAGGGCTGCTATGAGTTGGCATTGACACGATGTCAGTGAGTGAGTTATCTGGTGTCCTAGTGGTAATGGGTTGGGCTGCTAACCGAAAGGTCAGCAGTTCAAAACCACCAGCGGCTCCTCAGGAGAGAGAGCTTTCTACTCCTGTAGAGAGTTATAATTTCAGTAACCAGCAGAAACAGTTCTACGCTGTCCTGTCGGGTCGCTGTGTGTTGGAATCGACTTGATGGCAGGGAGAAATAATCCATAAATAACTGAGATAGAAAGAGAGGAAAACACAGTCATTCAAATTGTACTGTTTATAAATAACACTTATAAAATTTTGGGCACCTCCACCCAACTCTCCCTTTTCCCCATAACTTTTTTTTTTTAATCATTTCATATTATTGGTGTAAATTATTTTGGGGATACAATAAGGTATAAATCAATTTCTAAAACTTTAAATTATTTTTAAAATTTCTCTCTCCTCCTGAATATGTAGTTTTGATTTAGTTATAGTTTTGCTTTAATTAGTATCCTGTTTCAAAAGTAGTACTGTATTATATGCTTTGGGGTTTTTAGTACATTTTGCTTTTTATCATTTTTTTCTTATTTTGAATTAATATTTTTCATTCTTTAAATGTAAGCAATTCAGTGCACGTTTTGAGAATTTTTAACTATATAATTTTTTTACTGAAATATTGTTTTTTAAATTACTTCATTACTTAATTTTAATAAATCATTTTATTGGGGGCTCTTACAGCTCTTATAACAATCCATACATCCATTGTATTAAGCACCTTTCCAAAGGATTTTCTTTCTACTTGAGTTTATATAATCTTAAATAAAAATTTTAATCTTGAAATGAAAGTGAAAGTTTTTCTTTCTTTTTTTACCTTGACCTTAGTCCTACTTTATAAAAGTAATTCTGTTAAGAATTTTGGTAGCATTATTCCAGAAAAAAACATGTAAATTTGTTTTTAATTTCTATATTTACTCGTCTGTAGTCTCCTTTTTTCTATTAATAAGACAATCTCCTTTCTTTTTAAATTAGCTCCATTCTGCTCCAGAGTTGTGTTATCACAATTGCTATTTATTTATTTATTGCTGGACATTTTTCAACTTTTAAAAATTCTAAGTTTAATGACAGCCTATTTTGTCTTATGACTCTATCCTTTTGAAATATTTCCCTAAGAAAAATTCCCATAAGAGGACTCAAAGACCCAGTATAAGTACAGCACTTCAGATATCTTCAATCATTCTTTGAAGAGATTCTAACATAGATATTGCTTTCAGCAAGCATTAAGTATGAGTTTCATTTCTGTACTGCTAGAGTTGGGTGTTGGAAATTTTGCTATTTAAATAGATATGAGACAGAGGCTTTTTCCCTGAACTCCAAGTATAGTCATTGTCCATGTATTTTGCCTTAAATTATTTTCCCTGTATAAATGCAATTGAAATTATTGCTCTCTCTGATTATGTTGTTTTTGCTTCTACCAATTTCTAGGGGGTGGCTAGGTTCTATAAGTCACGGAAAAAGCACTTGATCACCACTCAGACGGAACACAAATGTGTCTTGGACTCCTGCCGCTCACTGGAAGCTGAGGGCTTTCAGGTCACCTACCTGCCAGTGCAGAAGAGCGGGATCATCGACTTAAAGGTAGGAGTGACTCTTGGAAGGAGGGGACAAAATATTAGAAGCTTGGCTTCAGCCAATCGAATCTCTCCAGCCTCGGCTTTCACTTGAAGGACTAGATCTAATGGCTTGGGTAGGATGTAGAGGAGACTTGTTAGAGAAACTGAGGCCATGTTTCCCGAGTGTGTATCAACCTACTTTTCTCTGGAAGGCTTGTTTTCTCAGCTTTGTCAGTCCTCCTGGGTAGCATGAGAACCATTGGGGCACAAGTGCAGGATACCAGAGCTCACTGTCACTGCAAAACTTAGCTCCCTCTTCTCTCACACACGTATCCTTCAAGAGGGAGTGTTGTTTTCTTAAGAATATTTCCCCCTTTTTTTGAAATAATAACAATATGTAATTGATCAAGGATTCACGATGTGGGGGGCAGAAAGAGGAGCTGATACCAAGGGCTCAAGTAGAAAATGTTTTGGAAATGATGATGGCGACATATGTCAAAGGTGCTTGATACAAATGATGTATGGAATGTTATAAGAGCTGTTAAGAGCCCCAATAAAATGATTTTTAAAAAAAGATTATTTCCCTTTTTGGCTCATTTCCATAAGTAAAGGGCTTGAAAAAGTTCATGGGAAAATTCTATTATCTTTTATTTCAATTTTCCACAAACCTTTGGCAAGCCCCTTATATGTCCATTTTGAGAAGTAAATCTAACCTTACCCTCAGATTTTAGACACCAGTATCCTTAAACAGAGATGTGCTTTGTAGACAGAGCCTTTACTTGGAAGGATAAACTGTTTCTTCCCATCATTCTTGGTTTCTTCCCTCTTCTTCAGCCAATGATGGCTACATAGCTATTTAACTCAGCTCCATTCTGCTCCAGAGAGTTGTGTTATCACAGTTGCTATTTATTGATTGATTGCTGGACATTTTTCAACTATTTAAATAGATATGAGACAGAGAGGCTTTTTCCCTGAACTCCAAGCATAGTCATTGTCCATATATTTTGCCTTAACTTATTTTCCCTGTATAAGTGCAATTGAAATTATTGCTGTCTCTCTGATTATGTTGTTCTTGCTTCTACCAATTTCTAGGGGGTGGCTAGGTTTGCTGTCTCTCTGATTATGTTGTTCTTGCTTCTACCCATTTCTAGGGGTGCCCTATAGCTATTTCTTTTCAGTGCTTCTGGAAGCATTCTTTTTCTTGTCTAGGATGCATCCTGGATCTTAGTCACCTCTGGATGAAAGCTCTTTGCCTAAATGAGTTCAACCACCAGCATATCTTGACTGTTGACCAGACTTTATTTATGGAGCATTCTGTAGATGCTTTTCTACATGGCCTAAACATTCTGAGCGATTTCTCATCCCCATGGGCACGAAGTAGAATTTTGTTTATTGAAGTTCAAGGTCATTTATATGCTATTATTTACATTTTTAAACATTGCAATAGAATTCACACCATGAAATTTACCTGGTGGTTTTTGTAGTTTTTTTGGGTATTGAAAAAGTTTATATTTAGCATTAGCCAGCCGGACTCAGTTTAAATGATTCTGATTTTGTTGGTAATATCTAAAGCATAGGAACTATATGTGACCTCCTCCCTGGGGGACGGACAACCGAAAAGTGCGTGAAGAGAGACATCGGACAGGGCAAGATATGGCAAAATAACAATTTATAAATTATCAAGGGCTCATGAGGGAGTGGGGAGCGGGTAGGGAGGGGAAAATGAGGACCTAATGCCAGGGGCTTATATGGAGAGGAAATGTTTTGAGAATGATGAGGGCAATGAATGTACAAATGCGCTTTGCACAATTGATGTATGTATGGATTGTGATGAGAGTTGTATGAGCCCCTAATAAAATGATTTAAAAATATATATATATATATATATATCTAAAGCATCATAGTCAGGAGACAGTCCAACATACGCTTTTTCTCACCATCAGGCTTGATCAAGGTGCTGACCTTGGCTACGTCAGTGTCATAGAGCTTCTTCACAGCCTGTTTGATCTGGTGCTTGTTGGCCTGATGTCCACAAGGAGCATCAGTGTGGTGTTATCTTCAGTCTTCTTCATGGCAGACTCCGTGGGCAAGGGCAACTTGATGACGCACAGTGGTCCAGCCTGTTTCTCCCGAGGGCACTCTTCCGAGGGTACTTGGGCTGCCTTCTTAGTCTCAGGGTCTTGGGCTGCAGGACAGTGGGTGACGTGGGGAGTCTTTTTGGTGTGGCTGTGAATGCCTTTCAGCACGGCCTTTTTGGTCTTTAAAGCTTTTGCTTTGGCTTCCATTTTGGGAGGGGCAGGGGCTTCCTTCTTTGCCTTTGGTGCCATCTTCGTACAAAGCGAAATTTACCTTTTAAAAGCAGACAGTTCAGTGGTTTCTAGTGCATTTACGAAGTTATGCAGCTACCACCATCTTATTCCAGAATATTTTCATTGTTCCCCTTCCTTCCTCAAAAACATCCATACTAGTCATTTGTTAGTCACTGAAATTGAAAAGTTGGAGATTCAAACCCGCCAGCTTCTCTGAGGGAGAAAGATGAGGCTTCTGGTCCCATAAAGAGTTACAGTCTTGGAAATCCAGAAGGGAAAGTTCTCCTCTGTCCTCTGGGGTTTTAACTGCTTACAACTATAAATCTACTCTCTGTTTCTGTGGCCATTCTGCCTATTCTGAATGTCTCATAAAATATGGGACCTTGTGTGCCCAGTTCCTTTATCTAGCATGCCAATACATTTGCTCATTCTTTGAGGGTAGAAAGGGCTATCCTTGGAGAATCTCATTCGAAAACCTTACCCCAGCTATCCTACAGTGTGCATGTGTAGGTATGATTGTTCTTGCCCTTCAGACTTCCTTTTGTTCCCCAAACAAATAATGTTTAAAAGGATGTCAAAACTGCTGTTTTAGCACGGTACAAATCAGTGAGCACAGACATCTTCAGGAAAGGGTTAGAGAGATGGAAACACTGCCTTCAGACCTAGGTGGAGGATATGTGTGGACATTTTGATATTTTTTTGTTTAATAAAGTTTCTACGGTTTTGTAGCCATGTTTTTTTTTAAACTTTTCCTCATATATGTTATAATATGTACTTTGTCATTGATTCTTGTGTACCTGTCAGCATCTGTCTTTGTATTTCTATTTTATTATTTTGAGGCTATTGTAAATATAATTGCTTCTTCATTTTTGCGTTATTCATTGCTAGTGTATGGAGATAGAGCTGAATTTTTATATTTGACTTGTGTCCTGTGACTTTGCTAACTTATTAGCTCTAATTTTTCTGTAAAGATTCTTTTTGGGGGGGATTAGAGCAGTTTTAGGTTTACAGAAAAACTGAGCAGCTACTACAGATACCCCCCTGCAAACCCACATACCCCCCTGCAAACATTCGCACCCTGTGTGTGTGTGGTTCATTGTTACTCTGATGAATTGTCATAGTACCTCGCCATCCAAGCCCTTTGTTTGCACTAGGGATTCATTCGTTCCCTGTGTTGTACATTTCAATAGGTTTTGATAAATGCTCAAAGTCATGTTGCAAGATCACACATGAGACACGGGAGTTTCACTGTTCCAAATGCCCAAGCCATACCTGTTCTGTTCACATCCTCGCCAAGTTCTCGTCATACCAGCACCCCGACTGCCCCGGTAGCTCGGCGGTCACACACCGCAAGGTCAACAGCTGGAAGTCACCTGCTGCTCCCTGGCAGGGAGGCGGGCGTTCTACCCCCATGCGGTGTCCCAGTCTCAGGGACCTACAGGGGGAGGTCTGCCCTGTCCAAGAGGGTCTCCGGGAGTCAGCATCGACAGGAGGACAGTGCATTTGTTTTGTTTTTTTAATAGTATTGACTTTTCCAGAATGTTCTTCCAGTAGGCCCTCACTCCCGATGTCTGTAAAGATTCTTTAAGGTTTTCTCTATTATAAGATCATGCTATTATGAATATAGCTTTACTTTTTCCTTTTTAATCTAAATGCCTTTTATTTCTTGTCTAATTGTCTGGGCAAGAAGTTCCAGTACAACGTTAAGTAGAATTCGATAAGATCTTTAGTCTTTCACTCTTGAGTCAATTGGTTTTCATGGGTACTACGAAAACAGAGGGGAAGGGAGGGCCATATCTGGCCTCTTTTGGCTTCCCTGTTGCCATGAGGGAGTCAGACATGCCTCCTCTGCCATCCCTTGGCACTTGAATCTGACACCGATGGCACTCTATTTCTACGCTGGGTTTGATAATTCATTGCAGTGGCCACATAGAATTAACTTGTATTCCTGGGCTACATCCCCCTTGGTCATGATGTATAATTATTCTCAGATTAATGGATTCAGTTTGCTAGTATTTGCTGAAAATTTTTGCATCTATATTCAAAAGTAATATTGAGCTAGAGTTTTCTTGTGACCTCCTTGTCACATTTTGCTATCAAGATAGTACTAGCCCCAGTGAATGTATGTGCTGTTCAAAACCTAGTGCTTCAGTCTTGCCAACCACTGTGTCCCTTAAGAATACTGTCCATTTATAAAAAAAAAAAAAGAATACTGTCCATTCTAGCCATACAAGCTTATATACCATATATACTTGAGTATAAACCAACCCAAATATCAGCTGAGGCACCTAATTTTACCACAAAAACTACATTGAAAATGTGCTGAAAAATCAGCTTACACACGAGTATATACAGTATCTGTCTAATATCTCCTGGCCAGTTCTGTCTTTAGCCTTGCCTTATACCCCCTTACCTTTGATCTCTACTATCTTCTTTACAAGGAGCCTTGGTGACTCTGTCATGTAAAAGTGTTGCTGCAAATTGCAAGGTCAGTAGTTCAAACCCAGCAACCACTCTGAGGGAGGAAGATGAGCCTGTCTGCTCGTGTAAAGATCTGCAGCCTCAGAAACCCTATATAGGGTATTTATGAATTGGAATTAACTCAATGGCAGTGGGTTTGGGTTTATCTTCTTTATACATACCTTAATCTTCTCCGTCTTCTAGAAACTCAGCTCAAAGCCCACCTTCCTGATGAAAGCTTCTTTTCTGAAAAGTCTTCTCTGAATTCCCATAGCATTTCATGGATGTTTATTTCTGTTCTCTACGATGCATATACAAGGGGTACCCAAAAGAAAACCTGGGGGGAAAGTCTGGGTCGCTTCGGAGCTGTTCTTTCAAAGCTCTTTCTGCTGGTCACTCGGAACCTGGGGTCCAGATTTCACAGCCACCTTTCTCATTCCCAAATCTTCCGTTAAAATTCACTGAACCGAGCTTCAAGACAGTCCAGATCACTTCCCTGTCTCTTCAATGATCCGTCATTGGTCTTCGAGCACATGTGCGTGAATTTTGTTGATATTTTCATCCGTTCGGGAAATTGATGGGCATCAGAATGAGATTTGTCATCAATCAATCAACAGTTCACCGTTTTTGAAATGAGAAAACCACTCATACACTTGAGTTTTACCCATAATGCTGCCCTTGTAAGCTATGTTTAACATCACAGCAGTTTCTGTGGCATTTTTCATAAGCAGGCAACAGAATTTCATAGGGAACACTGTTATCTTAAATCGGCCATCACAAAAAAATGAGGTTTGACGAAAAAAATTCTCTGTGGCCAGATAGAACCTTTGCAGGCGACGCCACTGGGTGCACTAACTCGGAGCAAGTTGCTTGATGATTGCCTAGCGGGAAAAATGTGTACTATGAAAGCTTCGCCCAGTGGAGCTTTTTTCCTGTTTTGTGGGGGTACTCCCTCATAGGTTTCTCTCTTCAACTAGGCTAAGTGTCTTGAAGGCTTCTTGTTGTTAGTTGCATTTCCGCATTTTCATTTCTTGTAATACTTAGGATTTTGCCTTTTTTTTTTCACTTAGTAGTATTTACTGTACCATAGGGAGCCCTGGTGGTGTGTAGTGGTTATGTGTTAGGCTGCTATCCGAGTGGTCGGCAGTTTGAAACCACCAGCAGCTCCGCAGGAGAAAGACTGGACTTTCTACTCACTTAAACAGGTACCGTCTCGGAAACCCACAGGGGGTGTAATGCGTCAGCATTGACTCAATGGCAGTGAGTGTTTTGGTTTGGTGTATTGTACCCGAGTGGCAGGTACTAGAAATAGAGGGATAAACAAGACAGGCCTAGTTCCTACCTTCAGGGGGCTTCGACTAGTGAAGGGTGGGTACCACAAACAAGTAAACAAATGTATACAGGTAAGTCCCTAATTTACCATGGGCTTCCAGTCAGATGCCTGTGTTTAACATCAGCATATCACAACTGTATCATAAGCTGGTTTTAATGTAAGTCAAGCACTTCTTTTTACATTTATTTATTTAAATGTATTTTACAGCCTGGTATATGGTATTGTTTTGAAGAGTAAACCATAACATTGAACATCTGTGAGTGAATGTCTGGGAATGGTAACATCAGCAAATTACATGTTATGACATTATACATAGAACATATTACTAAGGAGGTATACCAATTTTTTTTTTAAATGACATTCTTAAATACATTGTAAGTCAGTTTTAAGGTAGGATAAGAGCGATGAAGGAAGCAAACATGGAACTGAGATAATATAGCATTGAGAACCACCTACATTAGACCAAGTGTGAGGGAAGGCACAATGCTGGTGGATTAGTAAATTCTTTAAGATAAATTATTTAGTTTGATGGGATCTTGTCTTTTGTGTTAATAGTAACCCTGTTTTGTGCTGTATATTCTGCCCTTAGCAGTGTACTCTGACCACTGGGTAGTAAGTTCCTCTCTAATTTCGTTGACCTTTTTATATTTTGATAATTACTGATTTACATGTAGTTGAAAGAACTTGTACAGAGATCCAGTTTCCCTCAGTGATAATACCTAGCAAAATTAGATGTTAAGTAAATTATAGTGATAAGTGTTGTATGAGCCCCTAATAAAAAAAAAGAAAACCTTAAAAAAAAAGTAAATTATATAGTATCACGTGAAATGATTGTAGTAGTATAGTAGCTATCACAATTAAGATATTACTATTGACACAGCCCACCATGTTATTTCCCCAATTGTACTTGTGTGTTTGCACAAGGTCTCTGCAGCTGGATCCCCTGTGTAGGCTTGTGTAGCCGTCAGGCAGTTAGGATAACGGGACAGTTCCTATCACCACAATTGCCTCCTGTGCTGCTCTTCTGCCAACGCTCATGTATCTTTCATAACTTTGTTATTCCAGTAATGTTGTGTAAATGGAACCATACAGTATGTAGACTTTTGGAGTTTGATTTTAATACTCAGCATGTCTTTGGAGATGCGATCAAGTTGTTTTATTTATCAGTGGTTTGCTTCCTTTATTCCTGAGTAATGTTCCATGGTATGGATCTACCACACTTGGTTTCACTGGTCACCCATTGAAGGACCCAGTTTTTTTCTAACTTTTTGCTATCATAAGTAAAGCTATCATGAACATTTATTTTGCATGAATTGAAATTTTCCATTTCTCTGGAATAGATACCTGAGTACAACTACAAGATCACATGGTGATCTCATGTGAGATCTCATTGAGGCTTGGCTGGTTTACATTCCCACCAGCAGTGCACACATGGCCCTTGTCTGCTCCCTTGTCGGCATCCGCTGTTGTCACTCTCCACTCTAGTCGGTGTCTAGACGGAGCTTGCATGTGTTTTGAGTTAAGAGGACTTTGTTGGTAGGATAGTCTCTCCATTTTTGTTTTTTCTTAGGACCTAGAGGCTGCCATCCAGCCAGATACCAGCCTGGTCTCAGTCATGACTGTGAATAATGAGATTGGAGTGAAGCAGCCCATTGCGGAAATAGGTACGAACATCAGAGATGTACAATCTGTGGGGAGCACAGTTGCATTGGGCACTGTAATACTTTATAGAGAGCAGTAGGGATATCAAGGAAAAGAACTTAAGTTTCTGTTCATTCTTTATTATCCCCACTTAGGACCAGAGACTCCCCCATAATCTCTTAGGCATATTAGTAAAAGGCAAAAAAAAAAATTTTTTTCCTTTTTTTTTAACTGCCATGGAGTCAATTCCATCTCATAGTGATCCCGCACGGGCAGGCTAGAAGGGTAGAATGCCCCCTGTGAGTTTCCAAGACTAACTCTCGGTGAGAGTAGAAAGTCTTTTCTCTTTCCCATGGAGCAGATAGTGGTTTTAAACTGCTAACCTCATGGCGAGCAGCCCAACGCATGCGTAACTCACTCTGCCACCAGGCTTCTGTATTAGTAAATAGATCTTTAAATGTTTCTTCTTTCAAAACAACAACAAATGAACAAACAAAAAAACACGCAGTGTATTGAAAAACCAGTGTTAATGAGATGAGAAGTGTTACATATCAGAACATCGTAGATATTTTGACTTGATGCTTTACCCTCCTTATTTCATGCAGTCAAGAAAGCTAGAACCCAAAGAGATAGACATGGTTTATTATATGGCTAGAGGCTAGTGATGTGGTCATGGTGTTTTATTTTGGGACCAACATTGTTTTTGCTCTTTGTTGTTTCCTTAGGGCAGATTTGCAGTTCCAGAAAGGTTTATTTCCACACTGATGCAGCCCAGGCCTTTGGAAAGATCCCACTTGATGTCAATGACATGAAAATTGATCTCATGAGCATCAGTGGTCATAAAATTTATGGTCCAAAAGGTAAGCATCTGTCAGACTGCCGTCTCTTTAGACCTCCAGGAAGCCCACGAGCAGTTCAGTCGTGGCTCTTTTGGAGACTCTTCCTTGCTCTCAGAGGAAATAGAGTACTTTCCCCAATGCAGTTGTCATGTGTGCTAGTCAAGAATACATGCCCCTGGGTAATCCCTCGAAGTTACGATGCAGTAGGCCACTCTTCATATTCAATGTAGAAAACCCTTCGAAAGCATGTGGAGGCTAGTTTGGCTGAGGGATAAGAGATTTTGTCATATCAAATTTAGTTAGATAGGCCCAGCTTTCTTCTCTGCCTGACTATGATTTTTATCCTTTGAGCCCTTCATTCTTGGCATCTTGCCTTAGCTTGGGCAAGATTACATGGGCTTTTATATTTCTTTTGATTTTGGTTTCTATCAGATTAGTAGTCTGTGCTCCCATTATGCTCTCAAGGACACCTTTCTGTTACTCATGACCCTGTTACAGGAATGTGTTCAATCTTGAGTTATGCCTCTTCCCCCAGCCCTTGGGAAGAGATAGTTGTTCCCTACATTATGGAAGCAGCCATACAAACAAACAAACAAACATTTCTTCTGTCTTGGGTGTTCAGATTTGTGGCGACTAGTGGTACTTTTGCTGGTATACTTCCTGTGTCTATTGGGTGTGTCATCTGGGTGTATACCTGGTAGAAAACAATATGATGAATTCCTAGAAGTATGAAAAATATATTTTTTCAGGGTTCCCACACATTGTAAAGTGTCTTTATGACCTGAAAAAACAAAAACAACCTATAGTTGTTGAGTTGATTCTAACTGCTTGTGTCTTTATGGGACAGGGTAGAACTGCACATGTCGTTTCTGCTACTGTGATCTTTATGGATGTGCACCGCTGCGTTTTTTCTCCAGTAGAGCATTAGAGGAGCTGATGGCTTCAAACAGCTGATTTCCTGGTTAATACCCAGTGCTTTAACCACTGTTACATCAGGCTCTTGATTTTACCCTACATATATATGTTTTTGTTTCAACCACTTGTATCATGCTCATGAGCAGCTCTGATCAGAATTATTCAGATATCCTTGTCTCCAAACAGCTAATGTCCACAGTCATGATCTCAATAGGTTTAGTTAATGGATAGTGTCTGAGCATGTTGAATTTGGGATACTTGAACTTTATTTTTTCAAATGGAGAAATGAAATATTTCTTCATAAATATTGTTGGGTACTTAAATACTTTTAAAATTTATAAGTCCTTCAGAATAAAGTTGGGAACCACTGTCTTAGTTTCTATGTATCTCCTGTCCCTGCCTGAACAGTGGTTCTGTATGGAAAAGAGTCAGTAAAAGAACATTATTGCATGCCCCTTCGATTGAAAAACCCTTGACTACTTAGTGATTACCTTTGTACATATTCTCATACTTTGGTAAGAAATTCATATGAGACAGTTTGCTGACTCAGGTTATACATATTTTTTAATGTGATAGGCCCTGGGAGATTGTATCAAATTTTACTTCCATTCTGACCCCTCTTTTATATTCTGTAAAGGTTTTGCTTGTTTGCTTGCTTGATTACTGTTTTAGAAAGCGTGGTACCAGTTTTATTCACAAGGTTCAAACTTCAAAAGCTGCTAAAAAGTGCAGTGCAAAGTATCCCTCTCACCTCTGACCTACAACCATGTGGCTTCCCTCTGGGGAGGCAGTTCCTTGGGTAATTAAAAAAAAAAATCATTTTATTGAGGGCTCATACAACTCTTATCATAATCCATACATACATCCTTGTGTCAAGCACATTTGTACATTAGTTGCCATCCTCATTCTCAAAACATTTGGTTTCTACTTGAGCCTTGGGTAATTTTTTATAATTACTCTACACATGTGTGCCTTGCCTCCGCTGGGCTTCGTTACCTGTTAGCTAAACGGTAACACGTGATACTCGTCTTTCTGCACCCTACTTGCTTCAACCAAGAACGCAGCTTTTTTCAAAAACTAAAATGCAAACTTTATTTGGGAGCCCCAGTGGCACAATGGGTACAGCACAGGGCTGCCAACTGAAGGGTGTTCCATTCAAAGCCACACAGATGAGGCAATTTGCATCCGTAAAGGCCTTATGAAGCAGTTCTACTGTGTCCTGTGTAGTCACGATGGGTTGGAACTGATGCCATAGCAGTAGTAGTAGTTTTGAACAATGGGCTGTAGAGATTTTAGATTATTAGTACAATACAGAAGGCATGTCTACGTTCTTTTATATGCCTCTATGGACATAACCATTATTTAGTTGATTATCTCCCTAATGGAAGGCATCTAAGTTATTTCTAATCTTTGTTATGAATAATGCTGCATTAATGACACATTTCTTACATGAATAGCAACTATTTTAAACCATTTTGTCATTATTCCTTCTGTGAGTCACCTGCCGTATGAGAAATAATTTTGTTAAAAATTATACTTTAACTGCCATTTCTTTTGACTCAAACTTTTTATAATATTTAGAAAAATTCAGACTTATAGAAAAGTTGTAAAAAACCCTTTGGAATGTGATACTTTGTCTCATCTATGTTCTTTCTTTCTCTTCTTAAACCACTCTTTGTTTGCCAGGAGTTGGTGCCATCTACATTCGCCGCCGGCCCCGTGTGCGCGTGGAGGCCCTGCAGAGTGGAGGGGGGCAGGAGCGGGGTATGCGGTCTGGGACAGTGCCCACACCACTGGTGGTGGGGCTGGGGGCTGCGTGTGAGGTGGCACAACAAGAGATGGAGGTATGGGGAGAGCAATTTCCACCCACAACTTCCCCTGTAACTAGATCTCCTGTTTAGAGGCTTCTCAGAAGGACAGTCGGAAGAGGAGGTTTAAGAAAACCTGTCACTGTCCCAGTGCTCCTGGCATCTTGCTTACTTTAAGGGGGATACCATAGGTTCCCGTACTTAAGCTCTATTAATAGTTATTAGCTCATAAGTTTCTGGGTTGTTAGGACCAGTGTCCTGTTTACTAAGCTCCTCTTTTGCACACCAGGCACTGTGTTCAGTGCGGAGGATACAGTGGTCTCCATGAGTAACTTAGAGTGCTAAGTAACTTACTGACAATTCCAAGCATTGAAGGGCTCCTCAGCCTGAGTGTTTCTGAATTGGTTGATAGTCACTGTGCTTAGTTCTCCCTTGCCTGCTCCTCAGTATGACCATGAGCGGATCTCAAAGTTAGCAGAACGACTGACAAAGAAGATAATGAAGAGCCTTCCCAATGTGGTGATGAATGGGGACCCTGAGCACCATTATCCAGGTAGATCCCCTTCTGTCCGCATTCTAGACAAGCTTGAGACTCTGAAAACTCCCTCACTGTGGCTCTGTCTTACAGGCTGTATCAACCTGTCCTTTGCATACGTAGAAGGGGAAAGCCTGCTGATGGCACTCAAGGATGTTGCCTTATCCTCAGGCAGGTGAGCTGGATCAATATAGCAGGACTTCTAAATGCCATGGCAGCTTATTAAATTTCCCAGTGTATAGGTGGAGATAGTGCTAGGTGCCAGGGAAAGAGCTCTTGGTTAAGAGTAAGGTCATTTTATGGGTGATCATTGTTTACTTGGGTTGGCACAGACTGAAATTTGCCACCAGGGAGGATTTCTTTAGGTAGATTTTTGTGGTCCCAGGCGTTGTATAGATCTGTGCTAGGGTTATGTAAGTAGTTCTGCTGCAGGCCTCCAGAATTGAAGTCTGCTCCAAGATTGCCAAGGGTTTAGTTGCCCTCAAGACTGGTACAGATGTTATGTTCTATCCTTGAGAATTAGCCCAGGGCCCTCTGCTGCCTTTTTGGCCAAACCCAGCCCATGTGGCATCATGCTCTTTCATGGTTTGGCAGGAGGTGGAGGAGGGAGGTTCACATCCCTCGATGGGCCAGTAATGTCTGACTCTTTAGTTCTATCAAATATTTTCTCTTTTATTTGTAGGGTATGACTCCAGGGGCCTAGGAGTTTGGGACTAAACGTAGTTGTTGTGATGAACTGAGTACAGCTCTTGTCTTTCCCTCCTCAGTGCTTGTACCTCTGCTTCCCTGGAGCCCTCTTACGTCTTAAGAGCGATTGGCACTGATGAGGATTTAGCTCATTCTTCCATCAGGTCAGTGCTGCAACATCTATAAGAGGCAGACCTTCTTTTTGAATCTTTCACTTCTTCTAATAGTCTTAGTCTGTATCTAGTTTTCCTCATACCTTCATGATTCTTCTTGAAAATTTCTAGTGCTGTGGTTCTCAGACTTTATAAAGTATAGAGTATCACTGGGAAATTCATGAAGGAGGAAGATTCCTGAGTTCTGTACCCAGAGATTCTGATTCTCTAGGTCTGGAGATGATACAGTGTGTTAGTCTAGGTTGACTAGAGAAACAAATCCAGAGACACTCAGTTGTATAAGAGCTTTTTATAAAAGAGCAATTTTATCTTGCGAAAACATCCCAGCCCAGTTTAGATCAAGTCTATAAGTCTGATATTAGCCCTTATATCCGATACCAGTCTATACATTCCTCTTCAGACTCACGCAACACATGCAATGACACTGAATGCAGGAAGATCACAGGCCAGAGGGTGGAAAGTCTTGTGGCCTCAGTGGCGGTGGAACATCTCAGTGCTGTCAGGGGTCACCATGTGACTCCTCCAGCTCCAGGGCTCTGGCTCCATCAGCATAGCTCCATGTGTCTTGTCAACAGGAAGATGAAGCACAGAGTGTGTGTCCCACTCCAGAAAGGAAGACAGGAATTTCCAGAATCCTCAGGACAAGGCCATGCCCACACAGAGGCCTCATTGGCTATGACCTGATTGACAGGCTAGCCTCCACCCTTTCACAAGTTGATAGGAGATTATGTAACTGCCACATACAGGAATCTTCTTCTTGGGTGGTTGGAAATAGGGTGGTCTACATGTCACGATCTGAGAAAGAGTAACTTTGGAGAGGGCCTAAGGGGGAAGGACCACATTCTTCTCTATGTCTTAGGTGTAGGAGGACCCTTGGCGAATATTTGCCGAATGAATTTACCCTGGCACCAGTGCACTGGTGTAGAGTTCTTTTCCTGTGCCCTTTTCAGGTTCGGCATTGGCCGCTTCACTACAGAGGCAGAAGTGGACTACACAGCGGAGAAGTGCATTCAGCATGTCAAGCGTCTGCGAGAAATGAGGTATGTAGTATTGTACTGCGGGCCCTTTGGAGAAAACTAGTGCTGGCTCCTCTCGTCTTTAAGCTCTCTGTTTACACATCTGAGTTCAAAGCTTGAGCGTGCTTGGATTTTAGAATTTAGAAGTCCCATGTGAGAAAGCAGTTCTCAGCAACGTTTTCAGACTGCGAGAAGGTATCCTTCTAAAGACTGAAAAACAAAATAAAAGCCAAACTCATTGCTCTCAACTTAATTCTGACCCATAGCAGTACCATAGGATTGACTAGAACTGACCCTGTAACTATGTACGGAGTAGCAGTTTTTCCCCCTTGTAGCCACTGGTGGTTTCCAACTGCTGGCTTTGTGGTTGCAGCATCACACATCACCTACTATACCACCAGAGTTCCTGTTTAAATATTAATACTAAATACTTCAAAAATTCAGGTAGTATTTTTCATTACTATTGATAGTACAATAGTTGGGGTGCAGTCTTACAAGATTAGCAGTTTGAAACCACCAGCCGCTCCTCAGGAGAGAGACGGGGCTTTGAACTCTCTAAAGAGCTGCAGTCTTGGAAGCTCACGGGCAGTTCTACCCTGTCCTATAGGGTTGCTATGAGTTAGCATTGACTCGATGGCAGTGACTTTGGTTGTTTGTTTATTGATAGTATTAGCATTTGTCATTGCAGCAGTACTAATAAAACCTTACTGATTTACAAACGAGTTATAGGAAAACTCCCTTCAAGATGGGATTCTTAATTTGGCCTCTGTAGTTCAACTCCAGTAGTTAGTTAGAGACATGATTCCTCTGAATTATATGCTAAGTGTTGTGGAGTTATACATAGTTCTGAGATTGGGAATCACTGCCCAGAATTCTGTTGGGAAAGGTACATGTAAGGCTAAGGGGTCCTTGACTGGTCAGCTGTCACCATGGTTTCCTCTAGGAGCCACAGAGCTCAGGTTTCTCATGGGAACAGTGAGGGCTCTGGGTGTTTTCACTGCATGGCTTCTACTCTGGCTCAACTTGACTTTGAAATGTCTTGATCCAGTTGTTGGGAGTGAAAGTTCATGCATATACTCTGCTTCTATTTGTAAGCGCTTCCAGGCCTTTGTGTTCTGGATTTTTCTTCCCACGGCTAAGCTTAATTGTTTAAGCATTTACAGATTTCATGACTTTCTAGGGCTCATGACTTTTCCTTTAGCTTGGCTTTCTTGTACTCTCTGGCATACCCAAGGGGCTTTTTTTTTTATAGTCACTAAATATTTATTCCATTCATTTAGTATGTTACACTAATTGATGCATTTAAATAAAATGTTGATTATGAATCCCAATACATATGCAGAAAAAGTATACAAAATAAAATGTACTTTAAAGAAAAATCATCTTATTGGGGGCTCGTACAGCTCTTATCACAATCCATACATCCATCCATTGTGTCAAGCACATTTGTATATCATCATTCTCAAAACATTTTCTTTCTACTTGAGCCCTTGGTATCAGCTCATTTTCCCCCTCCCTCACAAATCCTTGAAAAATTTTAAATTATTGTTTTGTCTTTCACCCACTTTTCTGTCATCCGTCCCCCAGGGCAGGGGTTATATCTAGATCCTTGTGATCAGTTCCCCCTTTCTACCCCACCTTCCCAAGGGGCATTTTTACTGACCATGCTGCCAGCAAACCTTTGTTCTAGCTGTGGCTCATCTGTACCCTATTCCTTCTCTCCTCTGAGAAACTGAATTCAGCCTGATTCCTGTAGCTTTCAGCCAGACTCTTACTTTGTGAGCTTATGATAACCTGGGCAATGTTTTGTTCTGTTATATATAGGCCCTCTGTAAATCTGAACCCACTCATAATATTTATGTCCTGAAGGGACATAAATGAAATACGTACTTTCAAATAGCCATGGGAAATGTCATAAATCGCAAGGTATACTGAGAATCACAGTGTAAAGGAGTAAGCCAAGAAGAGAATGATATTAACTGGGGAAATTTAAGCCACAGAATCTCATAGAACATTGAAGTGATATCTGGCCTAGTATTATTATTCAAGATATCCAAGCAAAGGGGATCAGAACACAGCAGAGACTTCTTAGTAGCAGTTCTTTTGTGTGATGGGATGCTCAGGTCCGAGTTCCAAGAAGTTCCTTTTTATTGGATCCAGGGAAGTTGAAACTACAGTGTAATTCAGATAAGAAGAAGGTGGCAGGAATTGGATGAGGGTGCTGCACACCTGGATAATTTAGGGATAAGCCCCAGCCGTACTTGTAGAGAAAAACCTAGAAACTAGTGCTGAAAAGTGGGTCATTCATGAAGAGGGGGTTAGGAGAGAGCTTGGAATTTGATGCTTATACATGTCTCACAGGTCCTGGTTCCCCCCAAGGGAAATTGTGTCCAAAGCCTCTCACAAGTGGGATAGGCGCTTCTAGAATATGATCATGCTTGATGCCCAGTGAAGGAGCTCTTGTGGCATAGTGGTTAGATGTTGGGCTGCTAACTCCAAGATCCGTGGTTCAGAACCATTAGCTGCTCTGTGGCAGAAAGACAGGGCTTTCCTGTTAAGAGTTATAGTTTTGGAAATTCATGGGGGCAGTTCTACCCTGTCCCATAGGGTCGCTATGAGTTGGCTTTGGCATTTGTTCAGAGCCTAGTGTAGCTGAGCCTAGGGTAGTTAGTTATTATTTTGTTTGCAGTTGAGGAGAGGCTGGGACTAGCAAGGATTTTCACATAACTACGGAAGACTTACTAGCTATCTGTATTGGGATCTGCCAGGGCAAGGATGCAGAACAGAAATAAGGACAGAAGGAAGCAAGCTATTACTAATGACCTCAGCGCCATCATTGATTGCTTCCTCTGAGCTCTTCCTCACCCAATATCTCTTCTTTTTGGCAGCCCTCTCTGGGAGATGGTACAAGATGGCATTGACCTCAAGAGCATCAAGTGGACCCAACACTAAAAGAGCAGCACGTGGCAAGGGCCTGGTCTTTCCTGCTTTACTGAACCACGCACACCAGACACCTTGTTACACCAAGAGGGTGTTCCTGATTCAAACCAGAATTGCTATAGTCCAGTTGACTTCAGCATCAGCCCACCTCCAAGACAGAAATACAAGAGAACTCTTTCCCCAGCCTTGGCTCCTTTACTGAGAAATATTCCTTATTTCTCTCCTGGAGTCTTCCTCTGGTCTTATAATAGGTGTGTATTATCATCATGAAACTGTAGGGAAATTCATCATGATACTACTGCTGGATAAGTTTGTGTCCTTGATGGGAAGAGAGCCAAAGAAACAAGAAGAATGTTCTCTGGGACCCTAGTGCTCTACTTGGACATTTGAGTTGCTACACTTTTGCTGCTGAGCTTGATTGGCTCCCTCAAGAACACACATAGTCAACTAAGATTTTATCCTTTTTTGTGTTTCCAAAGACCACCTCTTCTTATTGATTATAGATCAAACAGCAAGTTACTTAGAAGGCTTTGTCCTTCCTGTTCTTGTCCTCTTTCTTTTTACCTAACAGAGCTAGAAGAGGCCCATTATTAAAATACATTCGTTCCTTAAAATTTGTTGATTTACATATCAGAGAAATAAATTCACCTTCTATATGCTCTCTTATTTATTTTTAATCATTTTATTGGGGGCTTGTACAACTCTATCATAATCCAAACATCCATCCATGGTATCAAGCACATGTGTACATTTGTTGCCATCATCATTTTCAAAACATTTTCTTTCTACTTCAGCCCTTGGTATCAGCTTCTCATTTTTTTGCCCTCCCTCCCTCCCTCCCTCATGAACCCTTAAAAATTTGTAAATTATTTTTTCATGTCTTACACTGACCGATGTCTCCCTTTACCCACTTTTCTGTTGTCCATCCCCCTGGGAGGGAGTTATATGTAGATCATTTTGATCAGTTCCCCTCTTTCCTCCCCCTCTTCTCCGTACCGCTCTGACTTTTATGAGAAAGTCTTATGGCACTGCAGAAGCTGTACTTGGGCATTGTGGCACTGCTGACTGCCACTCTACCTGATTCCCACATATGACAACCTGCTTACATAGCTGTTCATTCAACAGTTACTGGTGTGCTTGCCAGGAGCCAGTGATTGTTCAAGGTGGTGGGGATATTCTGGTAAATTGGAACTGAAAGGACTCTTCTTTCAATAAGCTTACATTCTAGTCGAGAAACAAAAAATAATAAGTAAACAACTAGTACAAATGACCATCATAAGAACTATGGAAGAAATAAGCAAAGTGGTAAGAGGAGCCCCCATGATGCTGACTGTTGTAAGGATGAGTGTCCAGGTAGAAGGAGCAGCAATAGCACAGGATCTGAGGCATGAAAAAGCATGATGTGTCTCAAGAAATCAAGAGAAAGCCAGTATTATTGGAGTTGTTTTTCCATTTCTGGGACTAGACTTGTAGTTGACAGTTAACCAGCACTCTCACATAAGAGCAAGAATATATCAAAGTGCCTCCTATACTTAGACAGTATGAGTCAGAATCAGTTTGCAGTAATTTTGGGTTCATCCATGTTAAAGTTTTCATTTTGATTACCTATTTTCATGCATACAACAGGTTGTAAATGACTGGGAAAACCACTTGGCAGTATGGTGAGTGAAGATGGACAGGGAAGAAGATGAAATAAAGTTGTTAGAGTTCTCATTTACTCCTCCTTTCCTCTAATATTACTTTTCACATAAAACTGTGCTCTTTGGAAGTGAAGATGGCAAGATTTTGTTTTCTATGCTTTGGACATGTTATTAGGAGAGAGCAGCCCCTGAAAAAGGACATGGTAGAGAAGAGAAGAAAACCTTTAACAAGATGTATTGACATAGTGGCTGCAATAGTGGGCTCAAATGCAGCAATTGTAAGGATGGCGTGGGACCTGGCACTGATAGCATTTTGTAGTATGAGGTGGTTACCACCACCCCCCAACTGGATTTTTTCCCCCTAAAGCTATATATTTAAATTTTTTACAAAACAACCTTATCACCTTCAAAGTACTCTCCATTAACTAATCACCTTCAAAGTACTCTAACCTGTCCTACTGGGTTGCTGTAATTGGAATCAACTTGATGTTGGTGAGCTATTGTTTTTAATCTTAAGTAGAAAGTGATTAATTAATATACACATTGGATCCTTAAAGCAAAAATCAATGAAGAATTAAAATAGTAAAGGAGGAAGAGGGAAATTAAAAAGAAGACAAATGGCAGACATAAAGTCAACCATACCAATACAAGGGGCCTTATAAAAATTTTTGACAAAAAAGATTGAAAAGTAAATGGAATTTTTTCCACAGGTTTCTTTGAAACCCTCGCATAATAACCTTCAGTGTGACTCTAGTTAACACTGCAGTGACAAGGCAGAGATGTCAGACTGGATTTTTTAAAACAGCAATATGTCTGCAAGAGACATACTTTAGATCCAAAGACTTCTTTTTCCTAAACATGTTTTTAAAGAGTATTTTACTTAAGCTGCTTTTGGTCGCATGACCTGATTTGTAAAAGTTAATAAATATAATTTCCAAAAATTTAAAAAACTTTTTCATATTCCATAAAGCAAATTTTAATGTACGAACACTTAAAAAATTCAGTGACTTAATAAAATATCAGCACAACTGCATAGAATTGAGTGCCAGAGAATTACTCACTTGTGAGGTGTCTTTCCAGGCTTTGGTTTAGAAGCATGTGAGGGGATACCAAAAAAACTCCAGAATTCCCCCTCCCACCACACACACACAAAGCTATGTATTTAATTTTTTTATAAAACCTTATCACCTTCAAAGTACTCTCCATTACACTTAAAACGTTTGTCAAATCTGCGATTCCATTCTTGAAAACATTTTTCAAACTGTTTGGATGGCTGACAGCACCTCCCTCGTTTTTTTTCTCACCTCTTCTACATTATCAAATTGCTGTCCTTTTATGTCCCTCTTCATTCATGGAAAGAAAAAGAAGTTGCATGGAATGGCGAGGTCAGGTGAGTAAGATGCGTGGGAGGTGCTGTCAGCCAGAACGAGGTTGGTCCTCATTAAACATTTTACCTATTTTGAAACGAGAAAACCACTCATTACACTTGTTTTTCCCATAGCTCGCTCTTGTAAGCTGTGTTCAACATCACAACAGTTTCTGCGGCATTTTCCCAAGCAGGAAACAAAGATTCACAACTGCACACTCTTCTATTGGCCTCACCAAAAACGAGTTTTGAACTTAACTGCTTTAATGAAAAAATTCTCTGACCAGAGAGAACCTTGGCAGGTGATGCCAATGGGTGCAGTAACTCAGAGCGAATTGCTTGATTCTCACCTAGGGGTAAAAATGCACACTACAGACTCTCCCCTCAACCCAGCACAATTCCGGATTTGTTTTTTCGGGGGGTGGGGTGGTACTCCCTTGTATGTAGGATCATTATGAGTCATAGCCAACTTGATAGTACCTAACAGCAAAATGGTAAGTTTATCAAAACTAAAAGATCCACTTTGGTTTATTGCTATTAACTAAACTCCAGAATTTACTCAGAATTCATCAGTTTCCACTAATGTCTGTCTCCTTTTCCAGGATCCAGTCCTGGATATCACATATGTTTCAAAGGAACAGGTTAGGTATTATGTCAATTGAGGTGGGTCGATTCTCCCATTACATAATCTAAAGGTGTGCTAACCTCCATGATGGGATATTCTGTGAAGCAGCTAAGTCGTTTTGGAACAAATAGGTCACAGTCTTAGTACAATTGAGGGCAGTCTCATGCAGCCTGTGGTCTATACCATGTAGATCCAGTGTGCAGAAGTTAGCTTACCTCTGCTGGATCTGGATCCTACATCTGGTTCATCCACCTGTTCAATTGTCTGCCAATCCCAGAAGCCGTCACCAGAAAACAGACCTGGGATTCACTCAGCTGACCTCAGATTCATTTAGCTCTGTACCCGCTAGCCTGTGGCCTTCTTACTTTATCTTCTTCTGTTCATCAGCCACAGGAGCCGGGTGAAGCATCCAGTTTGCATTTCACCCACTGGCTGGAAGCAGGCTGGACTTCTACAATGACGTGACCCATCCCTTTCTTTCTTTTTCTTTTTAAATTAGTTGGGATTGAATACATATCATTCCAAAGTTTAATCTCATCAAATCGAATGTACAATTGCTAAGACAATCAGTTTCCAAACATTCCTTTTCTACATGGACACGACATTGTATATGAGCCATTTCTTGACGTAAATCTCTTTCTATATGTATACACATATAAGCATTACAGGTTTTCTTCTCTAGAGAACCCAGGCTAATGGGTGTTGTTTTCAATTAACTGTATCATTCCTGTTAGGAGCCCTTGGT